AATCTCATTCATTCCTCAGCCTCTGTGACACCATTTTCTGGGTTTTTCTTTTCTCTCTCTGATCATTTCTTCCAGTCTCCTTCGCATGTCTGCTATGGTTGGATCTAGAATGTCCTCTAAAGGCCCATGTGTTAAATTCTTGGTTCCCAGCTTGAAATTATTGGGAAGTGATGAAATCTTTAAAGGCTGGGGCTAGGGCTAGGGATATGGCTCAGTTGGTAGAATGTTTGCCTAGCATGCACAAGGCCCTGAGTTCAATTCCTAGGACTCCCTCCAAAAAAGGATGAGGCTAAGAGGGATGCTTTCAAGTGATTGAGGAGGGACATTTTTACTTCACTATGCACTTCCACCATGGTGTGCTCCCCCACCATAGGCCCAAAGCAAAAGCCAATATCATGGACCTCCAAACTGTGAGCCAAAACAAAATTTCTATCTTTAAAAGCTAATTTATCTCAGGTATTTTGTTATAATGACATAAAACTGATTAACAGAGTGTTATAGCTCCTCTGACCAACCAGGATTTTGTTCTAAAGATTTTGCATATTCTCCATGGGCACATCAACCATTTTCTTGGCTTAAATCTATCTCTAGAGCACGTGTATCTGAGGATGCAGGAAATCTTTCCAGAGGATGTAAGAAATCTTTCCAAAATGAATCGTTTTAAGAGATTGATTTCCCAGTCCTCAATTTCTGTATTCCTTCCTAAAATCAATCTGCCTGAGAATACGCCTGTGAAGAAGATATCTTCCTTCACAAGCTACCCATTACCCAGCCCTGAGCCTACTTATGGTACATTTCCCCAGGGTGTAAAAAGCCCTGAGCCATCAGCTTGCAAATGATGTAGATGCTGAGAAAGTAGATAACTATAATATGGGTAATAAATTCTCTTGTATGTTAGAAGGGTTCCAATCCTATTCTCTGAATAACATTGAAGAAAGACAAATGCAATTGTCAGGCAAATGGATTGATCATTAAAAATAATTTTTGATGTTAGGCCATTATGTGAATGGGGCATTTAATTCAGAAGGGGTTTAAAGAATTGGTTGGCATTGCTGTAACAACATCATCCATCCTCATCTACCTGTTTGTATAAACAAAATTTCTCAGCATAAATATCAAAACAAAGGACAATATTAAGAGAATGTAAGCTGAGCTCTGTGTTGTTCTAGCAATAAGTAATTTCCATTCATGGATGCATGAACTAGTAGAAAAAAATACCAACCCACCAGTCCTATTAAGAGAGACATTCTCAGTAATATTTTCATGATCACACTTAATGATTATTCATTTAAAATTATATTTATTATTTTAATCAATTGTGTACTACTAATAATTTTAGCAATAACTCAATCTAGAAGAAGTTAATTAACACTTAGAGTCTTATGGTTCTCAAGGGAAATTTTTAAAATTTGTTTTAATCACCATGTAATAATTATCCAAATATAAAAGGACATTGAATAAAAATATGTCAAGCATAAAAAAGCCTTACTTTAGGATTACATACATGGAATAAAAATATAAGTTCAAGGATTAAAAAGAAAAGGTGTAAAATCTCCACCCTGTTAAAGAACAACTTGTTGGTGTGTTTTGAAATGGATGATAGTAGGCAGCAGATCACACTGATGTTTAGTTTCTATTGGATGCTTGAAATGAGTGATGTGACAATTTTTCTTTCAAAATGTCGATATTTAAGATACATCATAAATGACATATTTTGAGCCAGGCACAGTGGTGCATGCTTGTAATCCCAGTGGCTCAAGAGGCAGAGGCTGGAGGATTGTGAGTTAAAAGCCAGTGAGGCCCTAAACAACTCAGAGAGACCCTGTCTCTAAATAAAATACAAAATAATGCTGGGGATATGGCTCAGTGGTTGAGTGCCCATGAGTTCAATCCCTTGTATCCCCTCTTTAAAAAAAAATGTCTATTGTAGAATCTAGGTGGTGAGTATGTGGTGTTCATTGTCCATTATTTCAACTTTTCTATATGCTGGAAAATTTTAATAGTAAAATATCAGGGGGAAAGTTCTAGAGGGACTATTTATTTCATAATTATTTTAGGGCATGGGGGAAAGTTTGAAGACCACTGGCTTCAACTTATCACCATTTGCTAATGAATCCTTACCTTAAAGTTATAGTTCAAACCTCTGCCCAGAATTTCAAATTTCCATTCCATCTGGATTTCCCACCAAATCTAAAACAGCAGATCCAAAAATGAACATATCGTCTTCCCTTTATCAGTTAGGAATATCTTCAACTATAAGTAACAGAACCCAAAGTCAAACACATTGAGGGATATATATGTATATGTGTGTATATATATATATATGCGCGCACACACACACACACACACACACACACATATCTGGAAATAGATGAAAGCTGATATTGGCTGATACTGGTTACATGTTGGTTACATGGTTCAACAGCATCCTGGCTGGCAGGTCTGCAATTTTCTTGTATTTTTCTTCTAGTCACAATATTGTCTTAGAGTTTCAGGCACCATGACTGAGTTCAACACAGGAGAAAAAAGAGGAGAAAGGAGGAGCGATGCTAGTGACAATTAATCACAGGCTAACTTCTTTATTATGTCATTATTTAGGATGCCTCACCCCCACAATTCACACATACATATATATATATGCACAAACAGACAAAACTCAAACTACACTTGGCTTCAGAATGGGATGATTTCAATGGTCCAGGTTTTTTCAACTTTCTGCTTTGTTGTCCTCAATGTTGTTGGGTCTGTCTTGAGGATGGTACCAAGTTGGAAACAGCTATTTCAAGTATAACATCCAGATTCAATAACTTTGAAAAGAAGAGAGACCATCTGGGCCCCATTAGATACCACTCTATCCCATTTGCCGAAACATCTGTCAGTTTGCTTTCTGAACTAAGTACAAGGAAAAGAGGATTATTTTAGTCTAGTCCTGCCAAGGGTCAGACTCCCCTAAAAGGAGAGGCTTCATCTTTGTGAATGGGGGGATTGGGAGAGTCTAGACTCAAAATCTAAAACTGTTACATTAAGCAGGCAATCATTTGTCTATTACACGAGTGCTAAAATCGAAGTGTGAAAGAACAACAGCTTTGCATGTCATAATAAGGGTTCTGTTCCCAGAATATTGAATATAATGTCTAAATAAATATATTTTGTCTTAGAGATGTGAAATTCAACAATATATCTAAATTATAATATCATTGTTGTTCATTTAGTTGATTGATTGCATGCCTGCTGGGTAATAGACACTACTCTTTATTTTTTTCCTTTATAGTGAAACAGAGGTGTCAGATATAGAACTGTGTTTGAAATCAAAGCTTTGCATCTGCATACCTATTAACTTCTATCTTTGTCTCTAGTTCATTGTGTGAGACTTATGCTTACTACCAGAATCAGCACTTTCATTTTTCTTTCTTCTACTCATTTTTGTTAATAAAATTCACTAGATTTTTCAAACATGTGTCCAAGGATGCAGATGTAGGCCAAGATGGCAACATGGTGGAGACTGAATGGTTGGCTGATTGAGTACTATATTGAAACAGCTAACCCTTATATTGTACTTACAGTACTTATACTGTACTTACAGTGCAGGCACTGTTCTGGGCACTTTGCAAACATTAACTCATTAATCCTTCCAACAATTCTTTAAGACAAGTACTATCCCCATGTTGCAGGTGAGGAGGTGGGAAACTGAGGCCCTCGGTTTGTGTTGCACATTCAACAGCTACCTGCAAGCTGTGATTTGGCTCCAGCACCCTCCTGACTCACCTCCCCATTGCCTTCACACGGGCTCCTGCTCCACCTGGCTAGCAAAGATTCTCATCCTTTTCCCAGAAAGCTTTGGTCCCTTGCAAACTTTTGCACATGCTACCTGGACTGCTCTTCCTCTCCTCTGAGACTCATTCTTCAAGAAGGGATCAGTCTCACTCTCCTTAGCAAAATCTCTCCTGGCCAATGCAGCGAGGCCAGGGATGCTTGTCCAGCACTTAACTTGTCCTGACACCTTGCTACAATTAATTGCATGCAGATCTGTCTCTACAGATATGCAATAGGAGAGCTGACTAACTCCCTCCTTGTTGAGTCCCCAGGGCTTGCTACTATGCCTGGTCTATAATTGGCACTTAGAATGTTGCTAAATTAATGCATAAGCTCCCTGAATTTTACACTTCCCTGTCTCCCCCACACTGTCTGACACCACACATTGTAGACACTTTAGTCAACGGGAGTGGGGAGCCTGAGTTCCCGCCAGCAGCCAAACTTAATAAAAACAAAGCAAAACCAAAACCGCCCCCTTTTCTCCAATCTCCACAACATAATCAAGATCCCGGGAATTTGGATTCATTTCAAGCCCTCTCATCTGTCGTATCTAGCAGGATATGGGGGTGGGAGGAGGATGGGGCGCAGGGCTCCGGGTGGCCAGACCGCGCGCCTTCCCCCAGTTCTTGCCTATTAAGGTAAGAACCCTCGGAGAGGCGCGGGGCGGGGGCAGGGGGCGGGGGCAGGAGGGAGGGTCCCCTGCAAGCCGCCTCTGCGGCCTGTGAGCTTACAGGGCGCCGCGGGACCACAGCCCTGGAAACTCCGCCGGGTGCTCCACCACGGGTCCTGCCATCTCTTCTACCTGAAGCCACCTTCCTAGGTTTCCATAGCCACCGAGGCCGCGACCTATGTGTCCTCCATCAAGAAGGGCCTCAAAGGAGTCTAGGCACTGGGCGCTGATTAGATGGGGCCCGCTTCCCTGGCGGATGTTCTATTGTCGCAGATGCTGGGACAGCCGCCGGGAGCAGGGACCCCAGGGAGGGCAGGAAGGTAGTCTCCGCGGCAGAATGAAAGGAGGGAGTCCCTGGGTGGAGGGATCCGCACCCTCCCGGCGTCCGGCCCGCCTCCCCTCCCACTCGCCAGCTGGTCGCTCCGGGTCCCCGCAGGCCCCGCCCCCAGGCCCCGCCCGCGGCCCGCCCCCCGCCCCTCCCTGCCGGCGCCCGCCGCTCCCCGGGCTCGCAGCGCGGGCCTGGGGACTCGGGAGCCCGCCGCCTGGGCCACAGCATGGGGCGCTTCCGCGGGGGCCTGCGGTGCATCAAGTACCTGCTGCTCGGCTTCAACCTGCTGTTCTGGGTGAGACCCGAGCCGGCAGGCCCAGCAGGGCAGGGGGACTGGCGGCGGGCGCGGGGCCGGGGTCTCGGGGGAGCTGACCGCGGTGCGTCCGAGCCGGCTCCGGGAGAGGGCAGGGTGTTCCATCGGCGGAGGCGAGAAGGCAGACAAAGAAGAGGGGGACGGACGGAGGGGGAGGGAACGGAAAAAAGAGAAGGTTGATCAATGGGAACCGGTAAGAAGCGGAGACACCGAGCGGCTCTAACCCGGGAGGAGCCCCTCTGCCTAGGTTTTTATCTCCAGGCGGGTGACGCCAGGTGCGGGGACTCAGCCACTCCTCACCTCCCAAGGGCTCCCGGCCCCGGCGGTCCGCTCCAGCTTCCCAAGCACACACACACCCCCTTCTCGCTCTGCCTTTCCGCGGGAGCCCGGTGGCCTGGCCAGTGGGTTGGGAGGGAAACCCCTGCCCTAAGGGGCTGCCTGTGGGGTGCCACCCCATCCAGAGTGTGTGGACACACCACCTTCCTCTGAGGATTTCTTTAGGAAATTGGGGGTAGGAATGAAAATTGTGGGGGTGGGGAAGGACCATCCTTTTTCTAGGCATTATGACAGGGTCCTAGTGAATGAGGAGGTGGGAGTGCTCTTTAAGGAAGGATGTTGGGGGCACTGAGGGGCTTCCAAGAGGCAGCAGCATCTCCCCACAGTTCCCTGTCCGCAGCTAAATACTAATGCTAATGGAGATGATCTCATTCAACTTTGCAGGGTTTTATGGAGCTGACAACAATCCGGGAATTAGTAGTTCACAGAGAGATAAGACTGTGACCCTTGTCTTCTATATTATTAGAGAATGGTTAGGACTCCACCATCCTTAGCCCCCTGGATACTCAGCCCCAGGTCCTGGAGAATTCTGAGAAAGGTCTGAAAATTGTCTTCTGCACAGTCCCTCTTGGGCTTTCTTGATGGCCACCCATAATAACTGCTCAAATAGACCCTGAGTGAAAATATAGGTCCTGCTTTGGGTGAAGAGGTTTTTAGAGGGCGGAGGGAGCAGGAGGGGCTTAGGTGCTTTGAAACCATTTGCTCTGTGGAGGTTGCTTCCCATGACTGCAAGTAATTAATTATTGAATAATAGGCCCAGTTTGTGTCTGCCAACCCATTAGCCCAGACGCCTGGGTGACTCCAACAACTCCAAGCTCTTCCAAGTAGCCATCTTCAGCATCTTTCAGCAATGGAATGTGTGGAGGAGGTACCCAGGAACAGCCCCTGCATTTTAAAGATACATGTGACTTTTGTACACCTGGACATTGATATTCAGCATACTATAAGGAGGAACATTTCTCAAGGCCCTTACTTTGTATTTTTTAGTAGGCTGGCTTAATTTCCAACTCCGTTAATTAATTATAGATGTCATTGCTGCAGTGGCACCTTTCACTCTCACTGCTTACAAATTCAAAAGAAGTTTATAGCAGCCTGAATAGAAGTTCTTAAACTGGGTTCAGTTCTTATTAAATGCTTGATGCTGTGCCAGCTTTCCAGGGATAATTGGAAGCATTTATTGAGTGTTTTCCATGTGTCAAGGACAGGGCTAAGCACATTACACTCATTATCACACTTCATCTTCATGGCAATACTGATGTACATCGGATTATCCCCATTTTTACAAATGAGGAAACTGAGATTCAAACAGGTTAATTTGCCCAAGATCACAGAGCTAGCAAGAGGCAAAGATGGGTCTCAAACTCTGCCTACTTACTTTTAAAAACTGTGGTAATTCAGTTAACCAGTGGTTTTCAAAAGTGTGGCTCCTGGACCAGCAACTTCAGCATCCCTTGGAAATTGGTCATAAATGCACATTCTCTGCCCATCCTGAACCTGCTGAATCAGAAACTCTGGAAGAGGGACCCAGCAATCTATTTTAACAGACCACCCAGGTAATTCTGACCCATGTGCAAGTTTGAGAGCCACTATTAAATAATGACTAAGCAAATAATAAATAAGCACTAGTAACTGCAAACACTGTTTCTTAAGTAGCTAATCTACTTGAGGAAACAAGACCAATGCATATAGAACAACAACTGCCCCCGCCCCCCCCCCCCCCCCCAAAAAAAAGAAAAGTTCAGTATATAATCAAGTGACAAATTTCACACCATTGACCATTAACACAGTAAGGAAGGGAAGTAGCAGCAAAGTTTGAGTCCCTCCCTGTGTTAGCCACTGAGGTCATATATGGCCTTTGGTATATATGTTCTGACTAAGGTGTTCAGAGAAGGGATCACAGTAACATTAAGGAGGCTGCAAAGTCTTCTGAAGAAGGAGACATTAAGGCAAAGGTGAGAAACCAGCGTCACCAGCTGAGATGCAGAGCAAGGGGCATGTGAGCCACCATCTACACGAAGAAGCCATCAGGCTTAAGGGCAGAGATCCAAGCAGAGTATGCTTGAGCAAGTTATTTTTACTTCTCAGCTTGATTTATCATTTGTATGAGTGGAGAAATAGAGTTGTTGAGAGCATTAAAATCAAATATGTTAAGTATCCAGCCTCACCTTTTATGAGCCTTATACATAGTTAGTGCTCAAAAAGGTTAAGAATTATTTTTATTAGTAAGTGCCTGGCACATAGGAAGCATTCAACATAAATCTCTTTCCCCTGATTCCTTTAATATTGGCAAATAGTAAACATGTGTGCCAAATGACTTCCAACTTGTCTTCATTTGGGAATAACTATACATTATCTTCTTAATGTGTACTTGTGGATTTTCCCTACTAGAACTTAACAGCACTGAGAGCAGGAATTTCTTTTTCTTCTGTTTTGTTCACAAATGTATCCCCAGCATTTAGAATAGTGTCCAACATATAGGAGGCACTTAATAAATATCTGTAGAGTGAATTAATGAAGCTGCATTAATCTCAGGTTAGAAAACTGAGTATAGATTTCTGATTTACATAATCAGTTGCCAAGTGGACCTATCTCTGCCTGCTCATCATTACCTGGCTGCTGTTCAGACTGAGCCCAGTAGGGAAGTATGGGGACCTTTCTCTCTTTCAATTCCACAGGGCTGCAGGGGGCAGGGGACAGGGTTGTGCAACAGCAGCAAGTAGAGGCCATCTTCCCGTGTTTGTGCCGCACAACCAACACAAAAGGGACAAACTGAAACCAGTGCCTTATGCCCGACAGGGAAGAACGGAATGGATTAAGTTATTTAGATATCTACCTCCATTGTCACTGAAGGAACCTGATTCTAGAAAAGCCCCACCCTAGTTTCTGAAGTTGTTTTTTCCTAGTTGGAGGGCTTTTCCTGGAAGGACAGGCTTCAGCTGTGACTTAAGAGTGTTTAACATTTACACACACACCCTTAGATGTCTGCCCTTCTGAGGTATAAGGTCCCCTGGATGACAGTATTTTGGGTCCTGTCAGAAATTGGCCGGAGGGCAGGCATAGAGGTTTTCTGAGCTGCAATTTGACAGCTAGATTTGTAACCTCCTCAGGCAGCTGGGTTTAAGCTCCCCTCGGCTGTGCTCCTGGTTTTCTAAACATTCAGCTAGATCTTGCCAGAGCCTGCAGTGCCTGGCCCAGGGCCACCGCCTGGATTCTTTTTAAAGTAAAAGTAAAGCCTACCCATTAACTCTACTCAATTAATTTCTGATATCATGGTTGATGTCTACCATGAAAACCCTCCCAACATCTGTCAGGTCTAAATTCAGGCATTGCAGTCAGATAGCTTAGTATTTTCCTGTGCCTTTCATTGAAATCACCTTTGTTTTTTTTTTTTTTTTCCTCCGTTGCATAGCAATATAAATAAAACACCACAACCCACCCAGCCACACATGTTGGTTTAAAGAAAAACCTGGGCGCTGTTTATTCCTTGGTTTATTGTTGTCTGCTCAGCGTTTTCCTATCATTGTGCTGTAATGAGTGGCTCACTGTCCCTGTCCAACAGGAAGCGAGGCAGTTCTTTGTTGAAAGCCAGATGCCGTATATGGCAAGTTTGAAGTTTCTCTCCTTTCCTTCTCACCATTACTAATGCAGCTTTGGGTTTGCACTTGGTGATACCTAACAGGTGCTTGTAGGAAAGATAGTGTTTCTTTGGCTTGGGAGTAAAAGAAGCTTGGATCAAATGAATCTTACAGAGGTGGCCTCCTCTACTTTCCCAAATATGTCAAATAGTACTTTACAGAAATCACCTGTTGGAGAAACTGGTTTAAAAAAAAAAAAAGAAAAGAAAGAATGTACCCTTTGGAGTCCACAGAAATGCTAGACCACCCCAGAAAACAGCTCAGCCTCACTATAGGATAGTCTTCATTCCTGATTTCTGTCAAGGTGAGAAGACAGCAGCAGAGAGTCAGCCCCTATCAGTGTGGATCAGAGGGACCTAGTGCTGCTAGGAGGTCAAGGAGTCTACAGTAGGGTCAGTCTGGGAAATCCAGAGCTGTAGTTACAGTGTCCTGGTAGACCTCAGGCAGGTCTGCACAGCATGGCTATTCAGATCCAGGAATTCAAAGCTTGGAAGGTGTAGATTGGCACCACACTGCCTGACTATTTTCTTGGCTCCGTTGTTTAACCTCTTTGAGCCTCAGTTTTTCTCCTCTGTGAAACAGGCCTGATGAAGTACTCACTTCAGTCTGATCTTTGTGCAAATAAAATGAGTTAATACATGTAAGGTCCTCAAGTATGGCACATCCCCACACACATAGTAAATACTCAATAATATACGCTATGAGTGACAGTTGAATACTAGAGATACAAGTGAGAAAGTAGAATCCAGACTCCATGAGACCCATAAAGGCGAGGAGAAGCAAGAAGGTGTCCCATGTCCAACCAATCAAAGTGCCAAGAGTCTTACCTTATCAAAGGTGTGGAGTCAGAAGGAGAGGGTCCCTCCTCTATAATCCATTCAGTCAGCAAGCCTGTGCTGAGCTCCTGCTGTGTACCTGACACCCTGCCAAGTGCTGGCAGCTCAGAGATATCCTGGATCAGGAGGCACTTGTGCCTTTCTGTAGCCTCCATTTTGTCCTTGATTGTCACTT